GGCTTTTCGGCCCGGTTTCTAGGCGCTCTTTAAGATTGCTAACTGCTGCTGTTATCTCGGCAAGCACTTCACTTCCGTTCTCACCCACGGCGGCCTTTTCCAGACAAGCAATAGCCTCGTCCCCGCCAATTTCACCCAGAGCCCAGGCGGCGTGCTGCCTCACCAGTGGTTCTCCTGTTGCCAGCGCCTTGGAAAGGGCAGGAACTGCCGCCGCTTCCCTCAGGTTTCCCAGAGCTACGCAGGCGTTGCGTTGCAGCCCCACTCGCTTTGCGCGCATTATCGGTGTTCCCGCAAACCTTTTCTTGAATTCCTCATCGGTCAGGTCCAGCAACTTAGCAAGGTCTATGACTTCCAAACCCCGATTAGCGAATGAGGGTTCGGCGGTAGGTTGCGCTTTACGGTTGACAGGGCAAACTTCCTGGCATATATCGCAGCCGAACACCCAGTCCAGCATTTTCGGCCGAAGTTCCGGGGGAATAGGGCCCCGGTTTTCGATGGTCTGGTAGGAAATGCAACGATTGTTGTCTATGACGTATGGGGCTACGATGGCCCCGGTGGGGCAGGAATCGATGCATGCGACGCAGCTGCCGCAAGTCTTCCTGATCTCAGAATCGGCTTCCAGATCCATGTCGGTGACGATTTGCCCCAGGAACACCCATGAACCCAGCTCGCTGGTGAGAATGTTGGAGTTCTTGCCAAACCAACCCAAGCCAGCGCGGGCTGCCGCCGCTCGATCCAGCATCGGGCCGTCGTCCACGTACCATCGGGCCGCCACGGTGGTACCAAATGCTTCATTCAAAGCGGCAACCAGGTCTCGCATTTTACGCTTCATTACCCGGTGGTAGTCCCTGCCCCGTGCATAGCGGGCAATTTGGCCCGTCGGGCCCGGTTCGAAGTCAGCGCCGTCGCCCTCTTTCCGAGGGCCAGGAAAGTAATTCAAAGCCAGGCAAATAATAGACTTGGCGTCAGGCAACAGTTCCTCAGGCTCCGTTCCCCGGCGCACTCGTGCCGCGTTGTACCAGGGCAGCCCGTCCATCAGCCCGTCGTCGATTCTTTGCAGTGCTATTTTCTGGTCTTCAGAAAAACTTTGAGCCGATGTGATCCGCACCAGGTCAAAGCCCAGCGCCAAGGCTTCTTCCTTTACACGGGTAGTGATGACTGTCTTGTCCCGGGAAGGGTTCACGGTCTCTCCCCCTGATAACGACCTTCATATCCCCGTTGCAACGGTTGAACCAAGCGAAAAAAGACCATTTGCATTAGTCGGGCATTATGCTGGATATGGAACCCGTCGGAGTTGTGAACGATCAACAGAGCTTGGGAACGGCCTTGGTATCCCGGATCCCAGACGGCGGTGTGCAGGCTCACACCACTACGTATCAGGCTGGAGCGTGGACGAGCGAGGGCCATCAGATCCAGGGGAATGTTGACGACTTCGTTGAATGTTGCAAGATAGGTCCCTGGGTCCAGAAACACCCACCCGTCATCACCGAAATCCAGGATTATGCTTTCGGGCAAACTGCGGTCACTGGAGGCGTGTCCCATTCGGCCAGCTGAAGTTAGATGATCAACTCTCCGGAGGCTTAAGTCGAAGCCGCTGGGCTGTATTTGTTCGGACAATGACACCAGCCCTTCAACCAGTGCAGGCTGTCCTGCTGAAGGGTTGTTGATCAATTCGAGAATGCTCTCGCGGTCTAGTGCTGCGCCGCTCACGTCTTCTCACATAAATCAAACTCGCGGGAGCCGTTCCAGGGTTAGGCTCCCCGCTAATGCAGTACTGATAAACTTTGTCTGATTGGAATCGGCTGTCGATTCCCTGAAGGTTTAGTCGTGCATGAAGTCCTGGACATCGGCAGGCAATGGCTTGAAAATCGGAATCTCAGCCACCACAGCCTGGGTGGTCAGCAACATCGCGGCGATGCTGCAGGCATTCTGCAGGGCCGAACGGGTAACCTTGGCAGGGTCGATGATTCCTGACTGTATCAGGTGAGTGTACTCTCCCTTTTCGGCATCAAAGCCCCAGTCGCCTTCGCCTTGCCTCACCTTGTCCAACACGACCTGCCCGGGATGGCCCGCGTTTTCACTAATGAGTTCCAAGGGCGCCGACAAGGAATCCCGAATCAAACGGACGCCCAGCGCCTCGTCTCCGGACAGACTGGCCTGGAGATCGTCGAGAACCTGTTCCGAGCGGATCAAGGTGACTCCGCCGCCGGGGACGATCCCCTCTTCTACGGCTGCCCTCGTAGCAGAAAGGGCGTCCTCTGTGCGGGACTTGCGCTCATTCATCTCCGGTTCGGTTGCGGCTCCTACTCGTATTACTGCCACCCCGCCGACCAGGGCTGCCAGGCGCTCCTGGAGTTTCTCACGGTCATAGTCGGATGTGGTTTCTTCTACCTGAACTCGGATTTGAGCGACCCTGGACTCAGTGGCTTCTGGTGCGCCACGTCCCTCTACAATGGTTGTCTCATCCTTCACCGCGATGATGCGCCTAGCGGAACCGAGGTGGCTGACTTCCACGGCGTCCAGGGAAAGGCCGGTATCGTTGCTGATTACTGTAGCGCCGGTCATTATTGCAATGTCTTCGAGAAGCGCCTTGCGTCGGTCGCCAAAACCGGGAGCCTTGACGGCCACGCAGGAAATTGTGCCCCTCAACTTGTTCACGACCAGAGTCGCCAAAGCCTCACCTTCAACGTCTTCCGCGATAATCGCCAAGGGCCGGCCACCAGCCTGGGCGACCTTTTCCAGCGTCGGTACAATGTCGTTGACGGAAGATACTTTGGTGTCGGTTATCAGAATTAGCGGTTCTTCCAGCGTCACTTCCATGCGTTGCGCGTCAGTAACGAAGTGTGGCGACAAATAACCCCGGTCCAGACGCATGCCTTCCACGAAGTCAAGCTCGTCAACCATGGTCTTGGACTCTTCAATGGTGATAACGCCTTCCCGACCTACCTTGTCCATGGCTTCTGCAATAAGGTCGGCGATTCCTTCCTCGTGGGCGGAGAGGGCTGCCACGCGGGCAATCTGGTCCCGATTCTCGACCGGTATGGCGATGTTTGCGATTTCCTCTACTACGGCCTTCACGGCCTTGTCAATTCCGGACTTCAGGTCCATGCCATTGGCGCCGGCAGCGATGTTCATAAAACCGTTACGCACGATGGCGCGGGCCAGCACCACTGAAGTTGTAGTGCCGTCCCCGACCACGTCATTGGTTTTGGAAGCCGCTTCCTTAACCAACTGAGCTCCCATATTCTCGTAAACGTCGGGTAGTTCAACTTCTTTGGCGATTGTGACTCCATCGCTGCAAACCACCGGCAGCGACCACATCCGGTTCAGCAGCACGTTTCGGCCGCTGGGGCCAAGGGTCAGTCCCACCACTCTGCCCAGTTTATCTACGCCAGTCATCAGGCTGGACCGGGCTCGTTCGTCAAAAATCAGTTGCTTGTCTGCCATTCTAGAAAAACCTCCACGTTAATCTGTCGCCTAAACAGTGGGTGGCGACAATTGTCTTTTATAAGTGTTAGACGCAACAAAAACGCCGTCACTCTGACGACGACATCTTCACAACTATCAATATGCGATAGCTCTAAGAAATTGTCAACAGTTGGGGCTTGGTTGTGGCTAGATTCTTGCCGTGTTTCGGGTTTGGACATTCCCCCGGTTTGCCACCTGCATCAACCGTGGGTCTGAAGCCTATGCTCAGGGTATTTGCCCCCAGTAACTAACATCCTTCGAGCCTTCTACATTTGACGCCATATCGGCAATAAGCGCTTTCTCTGTGGGATGACTTACCCAGCCTGCGATTTCAGCCAGAGGGATCAGGACAAAAGCTCGTTCGGCCATTCGGGGGTGAGGGACTTGAAGGTTCGGCACCTCCAGGTCGATGACATGATCCCCGTACAGCAAGATGTCGATGTCGATTGGCCGAGGGCCGTATCGCACGCCGTCCGTGCGCCCCATCGCTTGCTCAATTGTCTTGGCGAGCCCCAGCAGTTGCTCCGGGGGAAGTGTTGTCCTGGCCTTTACAGCGCTGTTGAGGAATTTGGGCTGGTCAGTCAACCCCCATGGTTCGGTCTCGTAAACTGCAGAGCAGTCCAGGATTTCCAGATCCCCGGAGGCGTTTAACCCCTCCAGTGCCCGTACCAGGTTGGCGGGACGGTCACCCACATTTGAACCGAGGCCCAAATAGACTGTAATGGAATTCACTGCTAGTGTTCCCAGGGTTCAGGCCTCCAATTTCGCACTATGGCGTCGCTCATCCGGCACACTCGAACCATTTCCTTAACGTCATGCACTCTGACGATGTCCGCACCTCCCGCTATGGCCAGGGCCACAGTGGCAGCGGTACCCTCCAGCCTGTCTTCAACAGGTAAGTCCAGTACAAAACCAATGGTGGACTTGCGCGAAGTCCCCACCAGCAGGGGAAAACCAATGGACTTGAACTCCGCTAGCTGCCTGAGAATCGCCAGATTGTGGTCGGGGGTCTTGCCAAATCCGATCCCAGGGTCAAGAACGATATTCTCCGACCTAACTCCCGCGCTGGTCGCGGTTTTTACACTTTGGGAGAGGCTGTCAAGAATATCGGGCAATAGTTGGTTGTAATGGCGGGTCCTCTGGTTGTGCATCAGAATCAGTGGCGCTCCCGCTTCCGCTGCCACACTTGCCAGTGTCGGATCAGCTTTGAGACCCCAAACATCGTTAACTATATCAGCGCCGTGTAATAGGGCTTCCCGCGCCACGTGGGACTTGTAGGTGTCGACACTTATGGGAATCTTGGCTACCTGGGAAAGAGCTTCCAGGGCGGGCGAGAGCAGACGAATCTCCTGATCAGGGTCAATGGGTGTTGAGCCAGGACGAGTGGATTCTGCCCCCACGTCGAGGAAGTCTGCCCCTTCTTCCTGAAACCGCCGGGCCTGGTCAACGACGGCGGGGATGTCCGAGCCAAGTCCGTCCCCGGAAAAGGAGTCAGTGCTGAGGTTAATTATGCCCATGACATAGGTGCGCTCGCCCCAGACCAGGGGCTGTCCATGGGCAACAGTTAATTCTTCAAACCGTCTCAGTTGCGGAGCGCTCATAGGTGGCTCACAAGAGAGGGATATTATTCTGCAGAGCGATCCAGTCTGTGGTGTAATGCCTGTTCTAGCTGCATAGAAAGACGTGCACATATTATATCTTGCCATAGGTTATAATGGGGCAGATTTCGAAAGTGCCCGATTGAGCATCGGTCAATCAATTGGAGCGTTGACTACCCAGGAGCGGAAGTGGCTACCGAAAAGCGGGTCATAGACCAGAAAATTGACATCCTGACTGAGATGCGCCAGCAGTCCCGCCAGGGTGGGGGGGCTCAACGGGTTGAACAACAACACAGCCGGGGCAAATTAACAGCGAGGGAAAGGCTGACCCGCCTGATGGATGAGGGTACCTTCCAGGAGATTGACTCCTTTGTCACCCATCGGACTACAGATTTCGGATTGGCCGATCGCAAGTTTCTTGGCGACGCGGTGGTCACCGGTTACGGACGGGTGGATGGTCGGCAGGTCTTCGCCTACGCCCAGGACTTTACTGTGTTTGGCGGTTCGCTTTCAGAGGTTGTGGGCGAAAAAATCTGCAAAGTGATGGACCTCGCCGGGAAAACCGGTTGTCCGTTGGTGGGTATCAACGACTCGGGTGGTGCACGCATCCAGGAAGGAGTTATGAGCCTGGGCGCTTACGGTGACATTTTTCTCCGAAACACTCTCTATTCTGGAGTCGTACCTCAAATCTCGGTCATCATGGGGCCCTCGGCTGGCGGGGCCGTTTACTCGCCGGCCATTACAGACTTCATTTTCATGGTAAAGGGCACCGGACAGATGTACATAACTGGCCCTGACGTAGTTAAGGCGGTGACCGGGGCCGAAGTAACTCACGAGGAATTGGGCGGCGCCACTTCTCATGCGACCCGCAGCGGGGTAGCCCATTTCGTTTTCGATAGCGACGACGAATGCCTGGCCGAAGTCCGGAGGCTGCTGGGTTTTCTCCCCTCCAACAATTTGGCGGACCCTCCGCTGATTACCCGGGGCGACCCGGTGGACCGAATTGACCCGGACTTGCGATACCTTGTCCCTGACGAACCAAATCGCCCCTACGATATCCGTGACTTAATCTATCGAATTGTGGACATTGGTGGCGAAGAGGAACTGGAAGAAGTCCCCATCGAAGATTTCATGGAGGTCCAGGCAGATTTTGCCCCAAATGTCGTAGTTGGGTTCGGGCGATTCAATGGCAGCACGGTGGGAATTATCGGAAACCAGCCTTCGTATCTTGCCGGTGTTTTGGACATCGACGCCTCTTCCAAGGCGGCCCGCTTCGTCCGATTCTGCGATTGTTTCAATATACCTCTGGTGACCCTGGTTGATGTACCGGGCTTCATGCCAGGAGTGGACCAGGAATATGGCGGCATAATACGGCACGGCGCCAAGCTTATTTATGCGTATGCGGAAGCTACAGTGCCCAAGGTTAGCGTAATTATCCGCAAGGCATACGGTGGGGCCTACATTGTAATGAGCAGCAAGCACCTGCGCTCCGACATCAACCTGGCCTGGCCTTCGGCGGAGATCGCTGTTATGGGGCCGGACGGTGCGGTTAACATTATTTATCGGGATGAAATCTCCAAGGCTGAGGACGCTGAGGCCAAGCGGAAGGAATTGATCGCCGATTACCAGGAGAAGTTCACTAACCCTTACATTGCCGCGGCCCAGGGATTCCTGGACGATGTAATCGATCCGGCGGAGACCCGAGCGCGCATAATTGGTGCACTGGATATGCTCCGCAATAAGAGGGACAGCCTACCGGCCAAGAAACATGGAAACATACCTTTGTAGTAGTGCGCATGATAAACCTGGAGTCCTCTTTGCCAAGTCCTTTATTCTTCTACTGGTAAGCTCTGCTTACTGAGCTGTGAACCCATTTATTGGGCAGGAGCCTTTAATGGAATTTGGAATCTTTTATCAGCTTCCCTGTGCCGAAGACCAGTCACCTGCGGCTCGGTACGCGGACACTATTTCTCAGGCTCAGTTGGCCGATGATTTGGGGTTCGATACCGTTTGGTTGGCGGAAGTCCACTTCAACCCGCGTTTCTCAGTCTTCCGGCCCCCCTGCTTTTAGGGTCAGCTATAGCTCAAACCACGAAAAAGCTTAAAATAGCGACTGCCGTCAACCTGATGCCTTTGCATCACCCGGTCCGGCTGGCAGAGGAGTTCGCCACCTTGGACGTTATCTCGCAGGGGCGGGCGATTCTGGGTACTGGCCGTGGTGCCATGCTCCAGCAGTACGCCGGATACGGTGTAGAGGTGGGCGAAGGGAGGGAACGTTTTCTCGAGGGCCTGGACTTGGTGGTTAAGGCCTGGACCAGCGAGGAACTAAATTATGAGGGCAAGTACTACCAGGTATCTGGTATAAGAGTGGTTCCCAAGCCCTATCAGAAGCCTCATCCACCAGTGTACATTGCCTCAAACAGCGTCGACACCTTTCCAATGGTGGGCGAGTTAGGGCAAAACATTTTGGTTGCGCCCATTGTGGTCACCCTGGACGGCGCCAAGTCTGGGTTGAAAGAATACCGGAAGAATTTGGTTGAGCACGGCCATGACCCAGGCACAAGGAAAGTGAACGTGAATGTGCTGGTGCATGTCACTAAAGACGAGGGCGGCAGCTCCACGCAGGGTTATGAAACCAGCCTCCGAAACTATCTGTCTATTTTGCAGGGGAACCGTTCCAGGGTAAATTTCCGGTAGAACCAGGGACTTGAGCTATGAGCACGTGTCTACCGAGCTTTCTGCCATTGGCAGTCCTGAACGGGTGATAGATAAGCTCGAGTCCATCATAGAACTGCTAGAGGCGGACGAAATTATGTGCTGGTTTGCGGTCGGTGGTCTGCTTCCCAACGAAGATGTTCACTCCTCCATGCGATTGTTTGCCGAAGAAGTAATTCCCCACTTCAAGTAGGTGCAGTTGGCCACTTCCGGTTCTCTGTTCGATTTTGGTCGGCAAAAGCAGGCGGACGCAACGGCCCCGCTGGCCGAACGAATGCGCCCCCGTATATTCGAAGAATTTGTAGGACAGGAACACATCCTCGGCCAGGACCGTGTGCTGCGCCGGGCCATAGCAGCCGACCGGTTGCCCTCTTTAATTCTTTGGGGACCTCCCGGCAGCGGCAAGACAACCTTGGCGCGCCTGGTAGCGACCGAAACTGAGGCCCACTTCGAGCCGATTAGCGCGGTAACTTCCGGAGTTGCCGACCTTCGGCGCATAGTGACCGAAGCCCGCGACCGGCAAGGAATGTACCAGCGGCGTACTATCTTATTCGTAGACGAGATTCACCGCTTCAACAAAGCCCAGCAAGATGTCATTCTGCCCCACGTGGAGGATGGCACCGTCACCTTCATTGGGGCCACCACGGAAAATCCTTCCTTCGAAGTCAATGCGCCTCTTCTGTCTCGTTGCCGAGTCTTCACGCTCCAGGCCCTGACCGATGAACAGGTTGCAGGCATTGTGGGCCGAGCTATGGAGGACCAGGAACGTGGTCTGGGGGGCCTGAAAACAACCATGGCGCCGGAAGCGCTGGATCATTTGGTCAACATCGCGAATGGCGACGCCCGCGTCGCGCTAAACGCTCTGGAAACCGCCGCCGTAGCCACCCAGGCTGATGACCCAAGTGACACGCAAATCACTGTCGAAGTAATCTCCGATGCTCTGCAACGCAGGTCTCCGCTATATGACAAAGCGGGAGAGGGACACTACGACACCATATCTGCGTTCATTAAATCGGTGCGCGGGTCGTCTCCCGATGGAGCGCTTTACTGGCTGGCCCGTATGCTGGAAGCAGGAGAAGACCCCTTGTTCATAGCCAGACGGTTGGTGATTCTGGCGTCAGAGGACATCGGACTGGCAGAGCCGCAGGCCTTGCCGGTTGCGGTTGCGGCGCAGCAGGCAGTGCACTTCCTGGGAATGCCGGAAGCCCGTATTCCTTTGGCCGAAGCAACGGTGTATTTGGCCGCTTCGCCCAAGAGTAACGCTGCGTACATGGCCTTGGAACGTGCACTGGATGATGTAAGAAAGAAACCCAACGACCCGGTACCGTTACACTTGAGGAATGCAGTAACCGGCATGATGAAGGTGATGGACTACGGCAAAGGGTATCGCTATTCTCACGACTTTCCCGGTCACTTCGTGGAACAGGAGTACCTGCCTCCGGCCCTGAAGGGTTCCAGATACTATCACCCTGCCGAGGAAGGAAAAGAAAAGGAAATCCGGGAGAGGTTGCAGAAGTGGTGGGGCGGCGAGGAATCGAATCAGGCCGATAACGCCTGAATGACGTCGGCCGCGTTTACCACATCAGCTTGCCGTGGGAAGATACGCTGGGTGAGGAAGTCGTGCACCTCTGGGTCCTGGTCGGAACAGCAGTCCTCTACGATGATGAGCCTGAAGTCAGCATCGGCCGCGTAACGGGTCGTAGACAACACAACGCCGCTGGTGGCGTAACCCAGCATCACCACCGTTTCAATGTTGTTTGCCCTTAAAGCCATTTCCAGGTCCGTGCCAAACAAGGCATTGACCCGGTGCTTGCCGGCAACTACCTCTCCCTCGATTGGCCTGACTGCTTCATGGATAACCTTTAACGGATCACTGACAGCCGGTTGGCCCGACTCCTTTCGCTGGCTGAAGGTCTTATTCCGGTCGCTGATTTCCGGGTAACCTGGGCGAAACACGGTTGCCGAGTAGCAGACCATAACGCCGGCGTCTCTGGCCACCTGTTGCAGTTCCTGGGTCTTCGCCACCACGCCCCGTTGAATGGCGTGCGGAATGGTGTTCATCATTTCCGCATAAAAGTCGGCGATAAGCAATGCAGTAGTTGACTTGTCCAAGGTAATGTCAGCCATTCTTTCGGCACCTCATGGTTTAGGCAAACAGACTTCTTTCAAATACGTCGACGTTAGTGATTCCTTTAAGCCTTGTTCTGCTCGCGAAGCTTTCCGACAACCCCGGCTACTCTTGACAGGGCTTCCTCTACATCGGCGCTGTCTACCTGGCGGTGGGTCACCATTCTCAGGGTTTGGGTACGGGATGGCGTTACCTTGACACCTGCGTCGGCCAAAGCTTGAAGCACTTCCGGAGCAGTGCCCACAGAAGGCTCGATTTCGAAAATCACGATATTGGTCTGAATGCTTTCAGGGTCAACTTTAAGCCCCTCGATGTCAGCCAATCCCTGGGCAAGACGACGGGCGTTGGCGTGGTCGTCGGCCAGTCGTTCAATCATCGTTTCCAGGGCTACCAGGCCGGCGGCGGCCAGAACACCAGCCTGGCGCATGCCCCCACCGATCATCTTCCGCCACCGGCGGGCTTCGCCTATAAACTCTTCGGAACCGACAAGGACCGAACCAACTGGGCAACTCAGGGCTTTGGAGAGGCAGAAAGAAACGTCGTCCACGTCCTTAACCAACTCGGCAGGGGGGACTTCCAGTGCCACTGCGGCGTTAAAGATGCGGGCGCCATCCATGTGCACACTCGCTCCCGCCTCGTGAGCCACGTCGGCTACCGCCTTGGTGTCCTGCGGTGTTAGTGCCGCACCGCTGCACCGGTTGTGAGTATTCTCCAGGCAGACCAGGGTAGTGGGTGGCATATGGACGTTGCCCCGAGGGCGTATGGCAGCAGACAGGTCTGCAGGGTCTATCTTGCCCTGATCGTCGTTAGGGACCAACCGAACCTGCGCGCCGGCCAACGCAGAAACACCGGCAGATTCGTTCCAGAACATGTGGGCCTGGTCTCCCATGATTATCTCGTCGCCCCGGTGGCAATACGTAAGGGCGGCAACCAGGTTGCTCATAGTGCCACTGGCAGTCAATAGCCCGGCTTCCTTCCCCAGGATTTCCGACGCCCGCTGTTCAAGCAAATTTATGGATGGGTCTTCGCCGTAAACATCATCACCCACTTCGGCTTCGGACATGGCTTTTCGCATTGCCTCCGTGGGGTGGGTGATAGTATCGCTTCGCAGGTCGATCACGTTCATTTGTTCGGCTCCCATAGGGGTAATTCGGGCTATTCTAGCAGGATTCCTTGCCAAACTCTATCGAGTCTTCTAATATGACCGCAGGCGCCAGACGGCACACTGGAGGACGTCAAATGCGACAGAGCGCGGTTAGTTTCAAAGCCAAAGGCTTGAATTTTGAAGGCATTGTGGCCACTCCTGACGAAATGGGCGGCCCTATGCCCGGCGTGGTAATTTGCCACCCTCACCCGCTGTTTGGCGGCAATATGGATAACAACGTGGTGATAGCTGTGTCTTTGTCCCTGGTCGAACAGGGATTTGCCACTATTCGGTTTAATTTTTCCGGGGCGTTGGCAACAGCGACGGAGAACACACCAAGGGAGAGCAGGAATACCAGGAAGTTTTGGGTGCCTTTGAGTTGCTCAAGGCCTGGCCAAATGTGGACGGCCGAAAATTGGGGCTGGTCGGATATTCCTTTGGTACGTCAGTAATCCTCGGCAACTCTGCTGTCCAGAAGAAGGCAAAATCCATAGCTTTGGTATCCCCCAATATTCGTGCTCTGTCCGACACACCCCTGAAGAAATCCAAGACCCCCACATTCATTATTACTGGTAGCCGAGACAAGCTGGTAGAGGCAGAGGACCTTCAAACAAATCTTGACGCGTTTGCTAACAAGCCCCAGTTTGAGGTAATTAATGGGGCAGACCATTTTTGGGGCGGCATGGAACGTCAGTTGGTAGGGCCGGTTGCCGAGTTCTTCGCTGATCAGTTGAAGTAGTTTCCAAATGACCAACCGGGATAGCTGCGAAGAAGTTTCTGGAGCGAGTTCTGAAGGCGGGGCCCCAGATGCAATAGTTACAGGGGATCCGCAGGGAAGTGACCAGGAGGCCGATGCAGCTGACAGCGATACCACCAGGTCGGACAATATTGAGGCGACTGATCCCGTAGTGGTTGGGGCTACTCCAGCCAGTAAGGCAGAAACTGATAGACCTGAACCCGCACCTTTTCGAAAGCGCCTCATTTTCCTCGACTTTGACCTGCTTCAGCTTGCGGGCATAGCCTTTCTTCTTGACCAACTGACAAAATTCCTGGTACGTGCGTATCTTCCATTTGGTCATTCCTATCCCAACACTGGTTTCTTCAGGTTTACCCACGCGGAGAATACGGGCAGCGCATTTGGAATTCTCCAGGGCAACAACACGCCTCTAATTTTCGTTTCTTTCGTGGGAATTTTCGTGCTGGCTATGATCTACCAGAGCCAGCCCAAGGTCACTAACCTGCTGCGATTGAGCCTGGCCCTTCAAATAGGGGGCGCGGTGGGAAACCTGCTTGACCGGCTCCGTTTGGGTGCAGTAACCGACTTTGTTGATGTCAGTATTTGGCCTATTTTCAACCTGGCGGATGCTTCGATAATTTCTGGACTGGTTCTCCTTGGTTGGATACTGCTGGTATCTGGCAAAAGAGACGTGGTGTCGGCCCCAGGGTCACTTGCGCCAAGAAACTATCAGCTTAAGAGAAGGGGCAGGTGTGCCCGGTGTGGCAGGTACCACGCGGGCAGGCGAGGTGGATGCCAAATGCCAATGCATATTTCGGCGGGACGGCGCTACCTGCAGCGGCGAGCTTACCGGCGGCAAGGTTAAGCATTGATGGATAGAGGGAACGAAACGGTTAGGCATTTTAAGGTGGTCTCGGACGGGTCACGGCTTGACCGGTTTCTTGCGAGCAAGGAAAAGGGTCTGACCCGCAGTCGCATCCACTCGCTTATCACGGAAGGCATGGTTTGCCTCAACGGTATAGCTGCCCGCCCAGCCCAGAAGGTCAAAGCAGGCGACCGCATAGTGTTAACCATCCCGCCGGTAAGAGAAGCTCACCTTGTTGCCCAGGAAATTCCCTTGGACATTGTCTACCAGGATTCGGAGTTCGCGGTCATAGACAAGCCGGCCGGCCTTTCCGTGCATCCTGGGCCAGGCCACCCGGATGGCACATTGGTGAACGCCCTCCTAGCCCGTTGCCCGGACATCAAAGGGATTGGCGGGGTTGCGCGACCGGGCATTGTCCACCGACTTGATAAAGACACCTCGGGGTTGCTGGTAGTCGCAAAGACAGAGAAGGCTCATCATGATCTCTCCGAGCAGATCAGGGCTCGGCAGGTCCATAAGGGTTACATGGCCCTTTCCGTCGGAATACCTCCGCAAGAAAAAGGGACGATAGATGCTCCCATCGCCCGAGATTCCCGGCACCGAAAAAGAATGGCAGTTGTCCTTGGTGGAAGGGAGGCAAGAACCCACTACCAGGTAGTGGCTCAATACGGGAATTGCGCCCTCGTTGAGCTCGTGCTGGAAACGGGGCGTACCCACCAAATACGGGTCCATTTGGCTTATCTGGGTTGCCCTCTATTCGGAGACGAGGTTTACGGAGACGCAGCCCAGATCTGAATCGCCATTTTTTGCACGCCAATGTCCTGGGCTTTCGTCATCCGGCCACAGCCGAGCCAATGACATTCAGGGCCGGATTGCCAGCAGAACTTGAACAGGTTCTTCAAGACCTTGCTGCCTGAATTGGCTGCAAATGAGACGAATCGCCACTACAGACCGCTGCCAAGTTTCCATAAACTTACCGTCATCTACTTCTTTCTCTCTGTGACTCACGTGCTAAAATAGGCATGATCGGTACACCATTTACTACGAAAACAAGCCAAAGGAATCGACCAGAATGACCTCCCCGGACAATATTTCCTCCGATTTTATTCGCAACATTGTTGACGAAGACCTTGAGTCCCAAAAATACGACGGTCGGGTTGTAACTCGGTTTCCTCCCGAACCCAATGGCTACCTTCACATAGGTCACGCAAAGTCCATCTGCCTGAACTTCGGCGTGGCCTCAGAGTATTCCGGAGGAGTGTGCCACCTTCGTTTCGACGATACCAACCCGCTCAGGGAAGACATCGAGTACATCAATTCGATTCAAGAGGATGTACGGTGGCTGGGGTTTGACTGGGGCTCTAACCTTTTCTATGCTTCCGATTATTTTGAAGCATTGTACGGGTATGCTGAACAGTTGATCCTCGATGGAAAAGCTTATGTGGACAGCCTTACCGCGGATGAAATCAGGGAATACCGGGGAACGCTAACTGAGTCGGGAAAAGAGAGTCCCTATCGGAACCGGTCCGTGGAGGAAAGCCTTGATCTCTTCCGTCGTATGCGTGACGGCGAGTTTGAGGATGGGGCCCATGTACTGCGCGCGAAGATAGATATGACTTCGCCTAATCTCAACATGCGGGATCCGACTCTTTACCGCATCCGCCGGGCCACCCATCACCGTACCGGGGACAAGTGGTGTATTTACCCCATGTACGACTACGCCCATGCCCTCTCCGACTCAATAGAAAAAATTACTCATTCCCTTTGCACACTGGAATTTGAAGACCATCGCCCTCTTTATGACTGGACGCTGGAAGAGCTTGATGTTTACCGCTCCCAACAAGTAGAGTTTGCCCGCCTCAACATTACGAATACAATTATGAGCAAACGGCGCCTTCTTCAGTTGGTAGAGGGCGGCTATGTATCCGGCTGGGACGACCCCAGAATGCCTACCATAAGCGGCTTGCGGCGACGAGGCTACACTCCCGAGGCTATTCGGACCTTCTGCGATCACATCGGCATTTCCAAGCGGGATACGGTGGTCAATATGGCCCTGCTGGAGCATTGCATACGCGAGGACCTGAACCGCCACGCTCCTCGTGTGATGGCCGTACTGAATCCATTGAAAGTCATCATTGAGAACTATCCTGAAGGGCAAGTCCAGGAATTCGAGGCCGTCAACAACCCTGAAGACCCCGGTATGGGTACGCGAAATGTCCCATTCTCAAGGGAAATCTACATAGAGCGGGACGACTTTCGCGAAGATCCACCTTCCCGTTTTTTCAGACTGGCTCCTGGGAGGGAAGTCAGGCTCCGGTATGCCTGTTACATTACCTGCCAGGAAGTGGTCAAAGACCCGGACACTGGCGAAATTACCGAGTTGCGCTGCACCTACGACCCTGAGTCGGTCGGGGGCTCAACCCCCGACGGTCGGCGGGTGAGGGGGACACTGCATTGGGTGTCAGCCCCACACTCTTTACAGGCTCAAGTGCGGCTATACGATTACCTGCTGGTGGACCCGGAAAGTCGGGAGCGAAGAGGACAGCAGAGATTTTATCTCTCTTCTGAACCCGGATTCCCTACAAGTTATTGCCGATTGTCGGGTGGAGCCCAGCCTTGCCCAAGCCACGCCAGGCAGCAGATTCCAATTCGAGCGACAGGGGTACTTTTGCGTGGACTCCAGGGATTCAAGCCCAGATATCCCAGTATTCAACCGTACTGTCTCCCTGCGAGACTCATGGGCCAGGATTGAGCAGTCCCAAGGGTCGAAAGGAAGTTAAGAACTGGTTTTCGCCTTTGTACCTGGTGAGTGACCCAGCCTAATTCTGACGGAGTCGTGGTTCTACCCAAAGATCTCGTTACTTGACCCCAGCGCCCGTTGCCGAGGAGGCAAGTTTTGCCCAACGAAGTTCGTGTCAGGTATGCACCAAGCCCCACCGGTTTGCCTCATATCGGAAACATTCGCACTGCCCTCTTCAACTGGCTGTTTGCCAGGCACCACGGGGGAAAGTTCATTGTTCGTATTGAGGACACAGACCAAGAGAGGCTCGTGCCGGGTGCAGTTGACGGTATACTGGACGGTCTGGAATGGCTGGATATCGACTGGGATGAAGGGCCCCGGGTAGGAGGGGATTTTGGTTCCTACTTCCAGTCCGAACGACTTCACCTGTACCACGCCGAGGCCGAGAGGCTGATACTGCAGGGAGACGCATATCGATGCTATTGCACCCGAGAGCGTTTGGCTGCTGTGAGGACGGAGCAAGAACGGAACAAGCAGGCCTTGGGCTATGACGGCCACTGCCGCCACCTCAGCGACGGCGAAAAGAGCTCCTACGAGAGCGAAAATGCCCCTTCAGTAGTTCGTTTTGCCATGCCGGACACCGGCGTTACCCGCTTGAACGACCTGATTCGAGATGAGGTGGAGTGGCAAAACGAGCTGGTAGATGACTTCATACTGCTGAAGTCGGACGGCTTTCCCACTTATCACCTGGCAGTCGTGACCGATGACCACCGCATGCAGATCAGCCATGTTCTGCGTGCCGAGGAATGGCTGTCCAGCGCTCCCAGGCATTTGCAATTGTATCGAGCTCTTGGCTATACACCGCCGGAACACGGGCACCTGCCAATGATATTGGGTCCAGACCGGGCAAAGCTTTCCAAGCGACACGGCGCGACGTCCATACTTGAGTACCGTGACGACGGGTTTCTTCCAGATGCCCTGCGAAATTTCATGGTCCTGCTGGGCTGGTCGCTGGATGACAAGACGGAAATAATGCGTGCCCAGACAGTAGTCGACAATTTCACTCTTAACCGGGTGGGCAAACCGGCGGCGATCTTCGACCGGGAAAAGCTGTCGTGGATGAACGGCATATATGTTCGGGAAATGGCACCCCAAGACTTGGCTGATGCAATGATCCCCTTCCTTGAAAAGGGATTGGCCCCCGATCTTTTGCCTGTGGACGACAAATATCTGCTGCGAATAGTTCCGCTAATTCAGGAAAGGCTAAAATTGCTTTCAGACGCACCTGACATGGTCGCCTATTTCCTCGAGGAACAGCCCGTGTACGATCCCTCTAATCTGGTGCAGCGAGGAATGTCCGAAGGAGAGGCTGTGAAGGCACTGGACCGGTCTCTCTTAGCGCTGGCGGACGCCGAATTCAGCACCAGTGCTCTGGAGGAGCGGTTGCGGGCCCTGGGTGAGGAACTGGAGTTGACTCCACGACGGTTCTTTGGGACTCTTCGCTGGGCCGTTACAGGGCGCAATGTATCTCCCCCGTTGTTTGAAACGATGGAAGTGCTGGGCCGGGACAGAGTATTGTCACGACTGGCATGGGCCAAGGCCCAGTTGAACGACTGATTCCTTGGAACGTACTCGTTCGCGGCCTTTCGTACCGTTGCTCGATAACCCGCTATTTGAACCCGCCTGGACATATTGAACCGAAAATTCCAAGGGCACCGATCAATTCGGTGCCCTTCTTCAATGGTGTAACTCCACCTGGACCGGGTTTCGGCTTTGTGCCCCTCTTGGGAAGAGATTCAAACATAACAGAGTAGCTGACAAGAGTCAGGCATCGAACAATTCCCCGCAGTGAGGACAAACTCGCTGCCCCTGGTTTTGCCGCTGGATTTCCGCGAGAAACCCTGATCCCAGGATGCCCGCCGGCAGCGCAAACATGCCTATCCCCATAACCGCAATAATGCCGGCCATAGCCTTTCCCATGGGCGTTACCGGAGAGACGTCACCGTACCCCACTGTAGTGAGGGTAATTATGCTCCACCACATGGCTTCGGGAATGCTGGCGAAGTCATCCGGTTGCGCCGCGTGTTCAGCGTGGTACATAACTGCCGAGGCCAATATTAGCATGACCGCCAATACCAGCACCACGGTAAAAAGCTCGTACATCTTGCTCCTGAGCACCGTGCCCAGGGTTCGTATTCCTTCAAAATACCTTCCCAGCCTGGCGGCCCAGGCCAACAGTCGTACTGCTCTCAGAACTCTCAAATCCCCAAGTCCCAGGAAGGGCAGGAAGAAGGGCACTAACGCTATGAAGTCGATAAGAATCAGCGGTGTGGTGGCGAACCGCAATCGACCATATATCGGGCGGGAGTACCGGGAGTCGGCGGTGCAGGACCAAATTCTGAGCAAGTATTCCACGGTGAAGAGCACCATCGAAACTATTTCCAAGCCTCGAAAAAACGAGGGAGCCGCCTCATAGATGGTGTCAACCGTTTCCAGGATTTCGGCTGACGTGTTGATAACGATGAGGAGGATGATGAAAAAGTCTATTGCCCGGTTGAACCGGTCTCCTGCCGGGCCCACTTCCAATAGCTCGTGGACCCTCAGCCGGATTTTCGACAGATTGAAAATAGCTAGACTCCTGTAGTTGTGCCGGTGTCTGGAATGTACTTCGCAGGTGAGAAAAGCAAATACAAAGATTTAGATTACATAATAACGATTATTTATTCATTTTTGAGAAACTTTTAAAAATTTGCCTTGACAAGGTCTAATGGGCAGTCTCGTAACCTGTTATTGAGGGGGAAAGCCATTTCTTATTGTTGAGTCCCCTCGGGAGCAAAGTTTCTAGACCCGCTCCCGGTCTTTTACCACTGAATGCCGTCTTCCTCAGGTTGGCTGCTTTCCGGGTCCTCTAGGGGTCCCTTTCATGTTGGTGAGGCCATTCAAGTAAGACCATCAGGTCTGCTGGCAAAGCTTCTGTCTGTCAAATACGGAGACGTTTTCCAGCGACCCCTCAAGTAAACAAAACCGCCTTCGAACAGGAATTAGACATGTTATAGCAATAGAATGGTAGCCGATGTCCTACAGAATGGCACCGTTATGCATGAGCGGATTGGGCGGAAATTGGTAGTGAGGTGGGCTTATGGTGATTACTGAAGCAAGGGTGGTTTGCGACGGAACTCTAAAAATCGACGGAGGTGGCCTCTTTGGTCAACTCCCAAAGACAATCTGGGAAAACATCGTTTCAACTGACCGTAAGAACCGCATAACCTTGGGTCTTAACTGTTGGCTTCTAAATGTTGCTGGAAAGTGGGTGTTAGTTGATGCGGGAGTAGGAACTAATCAGGACGAAAAGGACAAGGAATACTATGGCATGGTGCCCAGCCGGATGTTCAAGGAACTGAAAAACGCAGGACTGACTCCGAAGGATATAAGCGCGGTAGTTCTTACTCATTTGCATTTTGAACACAGCGGCGGCTGCACCCGTATGGATCGCA